GGCCAAGTGCACCTCGGAGGGCCTGCGGCCCCTGCCAGCCCCCCGCGGGCTCCCGCACAACCAGCCCGCAGCCCTGCCGCCGCGAGGTGTCAGGGGGCCGCAGCCCCCCGCGGCCCCACCGGCCTCCCCGGAGGAGACGGCCTTCCTGGCCGTGCTCATTACAAGCGGCCCCAAGTACAGCGAGCGTCGCAGCATCATCCGCAGCACGTGGCTCTCGGCCGCCGGGCGCCCACCCCACGATGACATCTGGAGCCGCTTTGTGATCGGCACAGGCGGGCTGGGGGCGGAGGAGCTGCGGAGCCTGGAGCTGGAGCAGAGCCGGCACAGAGACCTCCTCCTTCTGCCAGAGCTGCGGGATTCCTACGAGAACCTAACTGCTAAAGTCCTGGCCACGTACGTCTGGCTGGATCTGCACCTGGACTTCCAGTTTGCCCTGAAGGCCGATGACGATACCTTCGTACGCTTGGATGTGCTGGTGGAAGAGCTGAGAGCCAAGGAGCCACGTCGCCTCTACTGGGGCTTCTTTTCTGGCCGCGGTCGAGTGAAATCTGGTGGCAAATGGAAAGAGAGCGCCTGGGTGCTCTGTGACTACTATCTACCATATGCCCTGGGTGGTGGTTACGTGATTTCTGCAGATCTGGTGCGCTATTTGCGTCTTAGCAGAGACTACCTGAACATGTGGCAGAGTGAAGATGTCTCCCTGGGGGTGTGGCTGGCTCCCATCGATGTGAAGAGAGTTCACGACCCGCGTTTTGACACTGAGTATAAGTCGCGAGGTTGCAACAATAAGTACATAGTAACTCATAAGCAAAGCATCGAGGACATGCTGGAAAAGCACCAGACCCTGGCTAAAGAAGGGAAGCTCTGTAAGGAGGAGGTTAAGCTCAGGCTTTCCTACATGTATGACTGGGGAGTACCTCCTTCACAGTGTTGCCAAAGGAAGGATGGCATCCCATGAAAGTCTGAGGAAAGAAAAGGCAGAATGTTGATGGACTCTCTCAGCTCGGCTTCTGTTACGTGGGGAGAGTCCCAGTAACTAGGGCTTAAAAGTTACTCAGAAGATTTTGCACGATTCATTGTCACGATCAATGAAACCCCCGAAACTCCTAAGAGCTACTGATGTGGCATGATGTAGAGATGTTTGGAAAAAAAAAGGAAAAAAAAGAAATAAGATGAGAAAAAGCATGGAAAGGCTCATTATGACGGGATTGAAGGCAAATAATAGGTTGCAAGATATGGATAGTACAGAAAATTTGGGGGAGATAACCTGAATGAAAAGTTGCTGGAAGATTTTTAACAGATTCTAAGATTTATTTGCTAAAGATCGTGACAGGCCTTTATGCTATCTATGAGATTGTGAAACTAGCATCTGCTGTTTATTTCTTGGCAAGGAAGAAGTGTCAGTTTGGCAAGGTTTGAAGATTCTAATGGGGCCACAAATCAGCTGCTATTGCCAGTGGAAACTGGTGGCTGGTTATTGACACAAGCAGTCAAGTAAAGGGAACAATTTCACCTAGGATGTTTGTGTTAGGGGAGGGAGAGAGTCTGTTCTTTGACAAGTGCTCTGATTTACAAGAATGGAATTATTGGACCTTCTGTGTAACTTGTCTCTAAGCTTTTTGTTGCTTTAAAGACATCGTGTACATAAATTATCTGGCAGCTACAGAGTAAGTCTATATTTAGAAAGCTGGATGAGTTATGGTATTTGGCAGATATAGATGACGTTATCTTATTTTGGGGGCAAATAGTTATGCTACAAAGCTACCCTTCAGTTATTGGGTGTTATTCTTAGTTTATCCTCCAAACACACTGTGTATGAAGAAACATTTCCTCTCCGTACAGTAAGTAATCTCACTGACTACTACAAGGTCAGACATAGTAGGCTTCAGATTTACATTGTTCTGGATTACTTAAGTAAAGTGTAAATTAGCAGGATTAGGTCAGTGGAAGCTATTCCGAGTTAAAGCAAGATTGCCCTAATGCGGGTACCTCAGCGAAGAAAGTAAACTCTGCATGTAAAGAAAAACAGGTTCCTCCACCCCCGAGATTCCTGTTTGAGGAGAACCTCGTCTCTCTTTTTGGGAGATACATCGCAGTCAAAGGAGACTAATCCCCCAACAGTCACATCTAGATGCCCGAAGATAGACTGTGTGAATTCTCTCCTCTCCAATAGCACCTTTTAGTGAAACTAAAAGTAATTTTACAGGAGGTCTAAGATAATAGCTCAAGTGATACGGCAGTAAATGGGATTATGTCCCTTAGTCCTGTCTCCAAATAATTCTAGCACTGACAGAGCTTGTCAGCATCAGATGCAGCATTGAACAGTAAACACAGACACAACATTCTTGGCTGTAGAACAGATAACTTAGAAAATTTCAACATGTTATTTATCTTCACACCTTTCAGTAAGCCTGTAATTCAAACATTGTTGAATGGCAGGTGCTCTAACACACAGAAAAAAAATTTTTTCCAGTCAGAGCTACTGACTTCCAGTAAACTTTGTCAGCTACAGATCTTTCAGTATAAGCAGAGTTTTTACGTTTATGCCTGAAGGGCATTCTTACTTACCAATAATAATATTTACTGTTTGTTGCACACTGCACTTTCATACAATTTTATTTCCTTCACTCCTTAGGTCAGTGTCTGTTCCCACCTGCAGGAAGTGACAAATTGCAAAGAAAAAAAAAAAAAAGGTGCCAATATATCTCTATATTTTTCTTCTGAAATTAGCAAGTTAACAATTCATACCAAAGGAATCGAGTATGGGTTTTTTTGTTACTCTTGTTTTGATTAAGTTACTGAGGATTAAGAAAAGTCTTCTGCAGAGGATGATAATTCTCTATTTTGGAAATTCAAAGAAATTTTTGGCTTGTAAAACCAAGTTAAGATAGTGAAAACAAGTTATTTTAGCATGTGTCCATTCTACTGCATGCTTATGTATTGACAGGCAGATGTGCTTTTCAGCAAGGTATACTATCCTAAAACAAGACTTCAACAAGATTACAGGAAATTTAAATTGGTTTAAGCATTCTTTAAAAAATGCCTATTTGCCATTTGGGGTTCACTAGTATTGTGTGTATATATGTGATTAAATGCTTGTAATGTGAGTATTTATTTATAATTATTGAAAACGTGTTATGTATAGGAAAAAATAAGATAGTTAAATGTCATTTTAAATTTAAGGAGGTACTGTAACGTCCATGAGAATTACATATCAAACAGTGCTTGAGTTTGTCGGTGTACAAGCCATTATTTAAAGTACTGGGATCCAAACTGCAGATCAAAAGTCTGCTGCATGTCTCAAGCTAGTAAGAATGTACTGTTTATCCACTGCTATCAATAACTGTGTCCACGGAGGCTGTTCACGTTGGTGACTTTGACTATCCCTACCCACAACTCCCATCCCCAGGTCCCCAAAAAAAAGTGTTTTTCATTGCAAAATTAATGGCAGAGAAATGCTGGATCTGCCGAGCGCGCTGCCCGCACGCTTGCAGGGTGAAGCTCGGGAATGCTGGTGACCACTCTTACACACTCGATACCTGGATCGTGGTCTGACACAGCTTCCTTGTACCCTTTTCTGTTTAAGCTTACCCATGTTTTGCTCTAGTTGCGAATTAACAAGGAAGGTTTGACTGATTTCTCGTCCTTTGGTAAGTGGTTTTAGTTTTCTTAGTGGGCATTGACTTACTGCAAATACAGAACTTAGATTTCAATCCCAATCAACGGGAAAATGGCACAAAAGATTAAGTTTTTAGACTTTTTGGTATTTTAAAAGCAAACTGAATCATTTAGGAGATAGCAGACATCCTACATGTGTGGAAAACCCAAGAAAAACATTAACTAGCGCAGGATTATTAATATTTTACTACAAAGAATTTGCATGTGAAAGACAATGCTATTTTGAGTAATCAAGAAACATCTGTGTATGGCATGAGTGAGTCACTAAAAAAGTTTGTCTGAAATTGAGCCCATTTTTTTTAAAGCAAAGTATAAAGCACATTTTTGAGTGACATAAGAATTGAATATTTTAGAAGTGGTAACGAAAGGCTGTCTTTCATACCTTCTCAGGACTAGGTTCCATTTTTCCTGACACCATCTCAGAAGTCTCGGATATGATGTTTTTTATACTTGAAAACCATAATATAATCTTTGTCCCTCTCCAGGGTCGGGGGAAGACTCTGACTTCAGTGGGTCCAGCATTTGGGAGAATGTCTCTGTGCTGCTGAGAAATAAGCATGTTTTGGTCTTTATATTAAGAGTACAAAGTTTTGTTGTGGGCCTTAGTGAAAACAAAATCATCCAGGAGGAGATTTATCTTCTTTTTTGTAGCCGTTCTTAGTTGGCAATAGGTTAGTGATGTGTTGGGCTTTTTATTTTTTTTTAAACACTGTTTCTGCTTGTTTCCAAGTTTTCTCTTCATAAATAATTTGCATTTTTAATATTATTGTTTGTTTGGGGGAAAATTATCACCCTAGCTTTTCTAGATATCAGCATGTAAGTTCAGCAGCTGTGTCAAGTCTGTAAGTTTATGTTGGCATCCATTCAGGACTACCATTGAGTTGATCTGTAACACTATTGAGCTCTTTGTTATTATTTACAGATTATTTTTCAGATTATTTTTTTGAAATCACGCATTTAGCATTCTACCAGAGCTAATAGATACAGTAGAGAAATTAATTGTTCACAATGTGCCCTCTCTGTGATCATATCTAAGACCTGATACTGAAATATTTAAAGCTGACAATGCCATAAACTCGGTTAGAAAGTTGATTTTATTTTCCAGTGACTTTTACGTGATGTGCACCATGACTTAATTACTTCAGTGTGTAAAAGCAAGTAGTTAAACCATTAATTGACGTACTAAATTAACAGCTCCACTTAAACAGCATGAAGCTTCCAAGAATTCCTATAGTCAGTTCAAGATTTAAAGAAAAACACAAGCCCAACTTACAAATTACCATTCCTGTAACCAAATACTTTATTTTCTGAATGTCTAGCCTTGTTCACGTGAAGCGTGCTCACGTACAGCTTCTGTGTGTCATGTTTTTGACAAATGTTACATTTTCTGGAGTTGAAATGCCTCATTTTTGAGCATTTACATTTGTATTTCGTATCTGTTAACGCTCTGTTTGCGGGGAGGTTTAAGGTGCTAGCTTTGCAGATTTGATTAAAAGCCCAGCAGCATGGGAAGGTGATTAAGAGTTGCATTCCTAATAGTTTCTGTTCAGCCCAGCTCCAGCATCAGAGCTGAAATGTGGTTTTGGTATTACGGTATGCTTGACTGTCAACACCTGCACTACTACACGTTTTATTTAGAACACGCTGCCTGCAAGACTCAAATCTGTTGCTACATGTACCTGCGTAAGATATGCTTTTACCTTGGAACTGGAACTACTTTATGCCAACACAATATGCCAGTTATTACCTTCTAATACAGACTAATTAGGTAATGTCTAGTAAAACTTGGAAACAGATCAGTCTGTTACTCGTAGCCTATCTGAAGCTGAAGGATGCTACATAAGTGTGCCTTTATGAAACAGAATTAACGTGGGGTGCTGTGCTGAGTATGTTTTAAACAGTTGAATGAAATTGCACATTGTTTTTGCAGCCACATAACTTTACCATTCGGGGGTGAGGTGTGGCACACAGTTTATTTGCTCAGCATTTATATAGAAAATAAAACTGCTCGAAACCTGAAGCTATCTGTGATGATGAAAAATTCGGTAATTGCGTAAGCGTATTCTGTGTGTATTTATGTCCTCTCATGTATGCCTTTATTGGCCAAAGGATCTGTGTGCTGTGATTTTTAATAAAAGACTTTTGCTGTATAGGTGATTGTTGGGTCTGTGTAAGAACTGATGGAAGCCCTGAATCTCATTGTGCCACGCGGGGCGCAGAGGATTGGCTCAGTCGGAAGGAATTGCACAAAAATGCTTCAGTTAATGTCAGTAATAACGACTGATCGGCATGCCAGAGCCCTGAAGTGACCAGTGGCCCAGAAGGAATGCCACTGGGTCACACGCGTGTACAGAAATACTTGTTCATCCTAATGTTTTGTTGGTAGCGATGTAGGAGCATGGCTTAAACTGTAATGCAGTCAGAAAAAGGGTTGCTCTGACTAAAAAGTGTATTGATTCTGGTCTCGGCTAAAAAGTATTTCAAGCAGTTAGACATCCATAAACACCATTGGCTGTAGTTCTGCTTTATGTTAAAACTCCCAAATACGAGCAACATTCTGACAAAGAATTGGAAAATATTTTCAATATAACATCTGCTCAAATCATTTCAACACTTCAAGGAGCTTAAGTAGCACTGACTTTCTGCTGGCAAAGTAGGTGGTCCATTCCCTTTAAAATTAGTATGTTCTTGCTGCTGCTTCTGCCACAACCTTGGCAGCACATTTTGGGCTCTAGCCCAGAGAAACGCCTCTGGTTTAGCAAAACAAACCAATCTATTTGAACCCAGAAGCACAAGATGACTCTGAGTAAGATGAAGTTGTTACTTTTGATCAAAAGTGTCCCGGTTCTCACTAGCAGTTCTTCAGTTACCTAGTAAGAATACTGTGATCTCAAAGTATCACCATCACCTGTCACATGGAAAGCTTTGGCAAATTTAATTTTCTAAGTTTCTAGCCGTATTAATTAGTTCCTAAGTGGAGAGCAAAAGGTGATGCTTCTTACCTACCCCATTTGACTCATCTGCTCACTGCTGTTTGTATTATTTATATTGCTGTATTTGCTGAGGTAGAGGTACAGAGAAGTAATAATAAAAACACTGCAAACAGTGCATGAGTAAAAAACACAAAGGTCTGATCATTTATTTAAACTAGAATTAAGACTGCAACACTTTTGCTGCTGTTTCGCTGAAATCAAAGACACCTCCATATCTACATACTTAGAAATTCACAGTAAGGATGCATCTAACTTCTAAAGTGAGCATACCTTAAGCAGCTTACGGTTTGTATTTTTCCACAGTGTGGGAGCCTATGAGGAACACCAGCCTTTCTCAAGCATCCAGGTGTCACACCTGATGTTCTTTCTGGGAAGGTGGAAGAGCTGGCATGCCTGGAAAGCCCTATCTTCGTAGTTTAAGTGAGGAGGGGAAGCACCCAGAGCACCGTTCCCTTGACACGGAACACTGAAGTTGCAAGCCATAGGGACATTCTCACTTAGAGTAACAGGTATTCAGTTTTATGTACGTAGTATAAGTCAGACCTGTGGTAAGCCAAACGGTAAAATTTGTGTCTTGTAGAATACTTATAAATACGTTGCTAAGTCAACACGTGCCTGTTCATTTTAAGAAGAGAAGTGCAAGGCTGAAATTCCTCATCTACAGAGACTGGAACAAGGAAGTATTTCAATGCTCTGGAATTTTTTAAGACAAGCCAAGTGACCATACGGAGCAGGGGGTTTGGATTCCATGCTTGCATCCTGGCCCATAGGCCATAATTAAATTCAAAATGTCATATTCACCTCATTCCAGCAGCAGCAATATTGAGCTTTAATTAAAATTCATAAAACACCACAACTGCCAAATAATACATGCGATATCCTCTTTGACTGAAATAGTAAGTCCCAACGGTAAATCAAGTTAAAGAACTCTCATCAATTAGAAATGCTGTACTTAAACATTAAAAACACACTGGAACAGAGTTCTAACCTGTCCTCATTAGTAACCTTGCGTCCACCGTGTAGACTTGGGGGCCAACAAATATAAGTCAACAGAGCCCTTACTACTTTTATTCATGTAGCAACTGAAGTTGCTTCAATATATTTTTGCAATTCCTTCGAGTCTTCAAAAAACAAGATTTCACTAATAGCTTGTAAGAGATCACACCATGCGTCCTGTTACGATATCAGAAAACATGATTTTTCTGGTTATGTGCAAGATACTGAAAACACCAAAGGATTTAATGTGGTTAGTACTTCCATGTGCAGCCAGAGGAGCAATTTAAGTGTTGGTTTCACTCTAGCCATGGCAGGGCTATTGGTCTACTAATCACTAGAGTACAGAGAAGAGAGGAAACTCTTTTAAACAAGTCACCAAGAGCTATTTCAGTCTGGCTCATCGTGTACCTCAGGGTTTTCCCTGTTTTTCTGGGCTACCACCATAAACCAGTGCCATCCTACATCTATCTCACCAGATCCAGTATCATTTTAAAGGCTCTGTCACCAGCAGTGCTTCTGCTCCCCAGGAGAGTCTAAGGTAGGAGAAAACCAGAGCCACAAAAATGATGCTGGATTCTCCTCCCAGTTAATCTGTACATGGTTTTGAAAGTTCAGGTCACAATACAAACGCAGCTTTAATCTGCATGTGGACAAAAAGCAATTTATGTAACAATAAAAGGGGAGGAGGAAGTTTGACTCCAGCAATACTGCACACTGTTCAGAGTCTTGGACTGGACCAGATCTGTTGGGTTTGGTTGTTTTCCCCAAGTTTGCTGGGAGGCACCACGAATTACACATTATTTGCTCTGCTTAGGACCTACTCACCCTCTACATTTAAATTATTGTCTGTGAGACACAACAAGTTTTCACTGCTCAAAGCTTGCTTCAAACTCAGTCATCCAATTCCAAAGAAAGCCAGTTCAGAAATTATTCCAAGGCCAAGCAATCTAAAGTAAATAAAAGCACAAGCATAAAACCCTTGAATTTAAGGTAAGTTATTTTACTACATGGTGTGAGATGTTTTAGTTCCTACACAAATGATCAAATTGCTATTGAAGTGAATGTAAGGAGGAGAAAACTGACAAATAATGCAAGTCGAGAAGGCAAACCCAAAACTGGCTGCCCAGGTCATCAACCAAAGCAGATCTATGTTAAGATTTCTTCCAGTAGGCAAGAAAAATTGCGTAAAAATAGAATTTATGGATTATAGAAAAATAAAGATAATCAGTGTCCAAGGGCACACAGTGTTTCGGCTTTGCAGTGAAAACAAGTCCGCTCAGAGGTGAAGTAACTTGTCCGAGATTGTGTAGAAAGTTGGCAACCGATCAGAAGCTAAAACTAGTTAACGGTGCTGGTAGGCTAATGCCCTCTTCTTACGCAGGAGAAAGCTGATGATAGCATTCCAGATCTTACATACAAGCAGATCTGAAGTTCTTCCTTTCAAAAGAAACATGCCAGAATCGTACAAATCCAACAGCTGTTCATCCTGTTTGTGATAAGAGAACGAACATCTAACTGTCATCTGGTTTTAATAGTTTTGTTTCCGTTTGTACCTTCCCTGAGCCATGGATGTCGTAGCAGATTGTCAGGGAATTACAATGAAGAAGCGTACGCGCAGAGAAGTCTGTACTTCAGAGAATTTTTTTTTTTTTTTTTTTTTTGTCCCCATAACACAGGACTCCAGAATGGAGAAGCAGCATTACCTCTCCTCTAAACCCTGAGAGGCAAAACAAGCCTTTCCACTCACCTACCTTACTTTTTTCTTTTCTTTTTTTTTTTTTTTTTCCCCCAGGAAGAATGCAAATAAAAGCCATTTACGCAACATAACTTCCACGGGATGATGACCATTATCACAGCCCAAACACTCCACACCAAAAAAAACCCAACAACCAAACCCTAAAACTATTCCTATTGCTTTTATCAAGACCAGTTGGTCCTCACTTTATTTCTGACCTCAGGGAATCAATAGCTGGGAAGCAACAAATCAGCTACAGATGAGGATTAAGCCCAACTATTTTAAAAGGACACCCGCAGATGGGTATCTTCCCTCTGTTTTCCCTGAGACAATTAAAATATTTATTCTGATTTTTTTTAAAACGCATTTTCATCCAAATTAAAATCTTTCACATGCGTATAATGAGGACACTCCTCTTTGCAGCTTTGCTACAAATATTTAATATAAGACTTTTTTTTCCCTTTTTTTTTCATAAATATTTCAAAATAACTTTCCAATTTGTTATAGAAGCAGACCTTTGAAGCGAGGCAATATCGTTTTTCTGTTGACTTGCCCTATGCAATTCAGTCACTAGATGTCACTATGGGCCTTCAAGAGCAGGTAACGGGATGAGTTCCTCGGTTAACAAAAAGAAAGAGGAACCTAAGCAGTGCCGAAAGACAGTTCATGACTAAAATCTGTGTTCTCTAATAAGTAGCTGGTGTTTAACACAGACTCAGATGCTTGGGGAGAAGAGGAAGAAAGTTTTCCCATTCAGAAATGGAATTCTGAAGGAATTATTGAGGATGAAGCCAACATATTTTTTTTCCGTGTAATTAATGATTGTAATGCACGCCCAGATTTTCAAGACAAACCTTTGTAGAAGCCCACAACCCCCCCCAAAAAATGGAGAAAGCAAATTAACTAAAAATGATGAGCCACATTTTGGTCATTATGATAGTGAAGTTCAGACACTATTTGGGAGCTACAATAACTGGGGATTATGGAGAGATAACTAACTGTGCCTGTTAGGGGAAAAAAAAAAATGCAGCTCTGGTTTGCCAAAATCTTTAGATGACTTTTTCTTGTCTATGTATGTTTGTGGTTAAACTGGCCAAAAATTTTACATCAAAGGACTTTGTTGTTGTTGGGGGGAGGGTTGGCAGGTGGAAGAGAAATAGCTTTTCGATGAAGTGGACATTTTTTATAGAAGAAACCAAAACAAACCAAAAGCCCCAGTCCCCATGCCCACTCCTGCTTTGCAATCAAGTTTTTCTGTGGCTGAAAACACAATTGATTTGAGTTGTCAAATTTAGTTTTCTGAAGGGAAACCCTCCCCAGAAATATTCAGTCGAGAGTTCGGTTTCAAAAAACGTCTAGGCGTGACTCCTTCTTGAACTTTTGGGTTGATTAAAGAATATGTAGAAATGAATCCTGTTAAAAAATA